GAAGTACACATAACTCTCGAATATAAATCCGAGATTTCCACATTTATTTATATTTAAAAATGTCTTCTGGAGGACACTAATGTTGAACATATTTTGACGATTCGAGACGAATCCAAAAATAACTCATCTAAAAAAAAATTAGTTTTAACTTTCTATGACAGTTTCAGCTGACTTGAAATTTCATCGTTGACTACAAATGAAAATGCAATATTATTCGAGAAGTTCTTTTTCTTCTTTATCGATTTGTAGAGACGTGAAATAAGCACAGGATAAGATGTAGATAATGATAATTTTCTCGAGATTTCTGAAATCAAAATTAACCTTTTTAAACAGAATTTATATTTTGATCAATCACTGATCCTCTAATGTGTCCAAGATATCTTTCATATCAGCGTCCTCTTTATAGTGAATCTTCACTCTTATCTTAAGGATATTTTGAGAGCAAGTTTTTTTCTTCGCATCTCTTAAATAAGAAAAAAGTCAATGTTTTATTTTATTTTCTTCTCTTTACAAATTTTATCCATTCATTCTAAGTTTAGTATGATATGATACTATTTACAAAAACTAATGTTTATTATATAAGTTTAATAGAAATGTTGAGAAGTATTTTTTTTTACAAGTATTTATAATTAAATAATTGGTTATAATGAATTTTCATCATTAAGTATTGTTGCAATGATTCTTTGTGTGTAAAACAGTTTCTAAAGCAAGATTAACAAATGAAAACTAATCGCTAATGACCTTAGATAAGCTAAGTTTATTTTGACTTAATTTATTTGAGCTAGATTTTTGTAATATCATTTTATAATTTGAGTTCTGATTCATTTTTCATGACTTAGTTATAAGTTAAATTTGAAAATCTGAGTTTGATTAACTATTTATTAGAAACATTCTTGGCTATGAACAACTTAATCATTATAATATAGAAAATAGAAGAACATATTATGCGAAACACTGAAAATATACTTTCATATTTGAGGAATAGAATAAATTTTTATTAAAAATTAACTTTTTGTTTTCATATGTAGTTTATTTTGATAGATTTTAGGACAGTGCACTACTGTTTTGAAATTAATCCTTTGAGAATGGAATTCTTTTTTTTTTAATAAAAAAAAACACATGTTTCAACCTTTTTATTTTATTTTAACTCAAAATAACTATATAAAAATCTTATGATAATCAAAAAAGACAATGCTACAAGAAGCATATCTTCTTCTTGTTTTTTCTGTGAAAGGAATATGCATTTCATTGTCAAAATAAAGGACAGTTTTTGGTAATGCTAGTTTACATATATTTTCAGAAGAAAGTCTTCCACGATTGCAACTAAAACCATGTAGTTTCAGTATGATAATTTATCCTAAACTAAATGATTATAGCAAATAAATGAGTTAAAAACAGATATATTTAGGAAAATAAATAAAAATTCAAAGCCAGTTTCTTTTAGATTTACGATCAAGTTTGTAGCAGAATATTCTTTAGAACAAAGGATATTTGATAAGAATTTATATGAGAGAAACGAAATAAGAAATGACAAATATGAACATAGAATTTTCATACTTTTAATACGGAAAACCTGACTTGTTCATTCTCTGTTAAAAAAATAAATTAATATTATAACGTAAGAGAAAGAAATTTTTTAAATTGAGAAATATTCTCATTTTCGTTTCTAACTTTTCAATTTATTTTATATATCATTCTAAAGTATTGATAATAAAACTAAAGCACGAATGTTCAAGACTAAAATTCGATCAGTATTATCGTATTATTTGTGATACTAATAATAAAATCAAGAAAGAATAAATGTGTACTTATTATGTATCTTTATTTTATTTGATAGATACTTTTACGCTTAAAATAGTTTGAAGATGTCAAAATTCTTGACGAATCTTTTGTTTAAATAAAATGAAACATAGAAAAAAACAAGAGATATTGATTTAGTACGTAAGCTGATTATAATCATAATTAATCAAAATTTTGTCAGACATTACATGTATGATGGATTTTCGTAGATGATGCTTAGATTGATACCAATCATGGAAGAAAGTTCATCATACATGCAACCAATAATACTGTATGAGTAATAATTTGTATGTTAGATAACATATTTAACATATTTTTGATAAATTACTGCGTGAAAAGTCGTTAAAACTTGTCTCTTTTAACAATAAAAATTGCATTAGAATTTCGAAATACGTTTAAATGTATTAATTTTGTGTACTTTTAATGCCTGTATACGATCAAATTTGTAACATATTTTATCGTAAAATTTCTAACAAATTCTTACGCCACATGTTTTTGTTAAACTGGCAAATATTTTTACATGAGTATCGTGCAAAAACATAAACACGATTTTATCTCGAAATATTATTATACAAAAAAAAAAGTTCCCATAAGTGACTCTTACGGTCATCAGTAATACATCCAGGATTTTTCAGTATGCTTAATCTCGGATCTCGAGTATGGGATCTAACGGGTGTCCCAGATTAAATGATCCTCTCCGTATTTTGCATTTTTCTCCCTTATGATTTGGCATCAAAAAAAAAGTTTTTTTATAAAAAGATTTCTCGTCAAATTCTTTACAAAACGTATATGTTTTTTTATTTTAAATAGTCTCCATTATTTTGAGACATACCATACAATCGATTTGTCCAAGAGTTATAACTTTCAAACACAACATTTTTTCGAATTTTTTTTACAGCATGTTTTAATTCTTGGATCAACGTTGTTTTGGATGTCACTATATTCCAATCGATAAACTTTACAAACTCATCCCATATACAGTAATCCAATGGATTAAGATCAGGACTATTGGGTGGCCAATGGTCTTTATCGATAAATTCCGGAAAATTGTCATGGCACCATTGTTGTGTTAATCGATGAACATGTGGTTTAGCACCATCTTGTTGGAATGTCCAGTCATTTCCGAAGACATGATTTCCATATCTAAGGGCCACAGAAAGCACCTCTTTAATGTATCGCTCATGGTCGACTGTACCTTGTTCAAATATCACCAAAGGAGACACACCTTTTGAGCAGACACCAAGCCAAACCATGACCTTCTGAGGAAATTTGTTCTTCTGATGAATACCACCTTTTTCATTAGCTTCATCACGATTTACCGCCCAAATGCGATCGTTTTGGGTATTATAAACACCATCGATGTCGAACATCTTTTCATCAGAAAACAGAATTTTCAATGTTTCCTGCTTTCGAAAATTTGTTCGTATCCAATTAGCAATTTTTTTTCTTTTTTCTTTATGCTCCTCGGTAAGTGCTGGTTCGATCAAACATTTATATGGTCGGCAGCCAAGATCATCCTGAAGAATGCGTTGAGCACTTTTTCGGGACATACCAAGGTCGAATGCAAGTTTTCGAGTTGAGACTTTACCTTTTTGCAGCTTCTTCTTGACCTTCTTTATAGCTCCTGCAGTTCGAACTGTACGTGGAGGACCTGGTGGTGTTGTCAGATTGATAAAACCAGCTTCATCAATCATTTTACACCATCTTTTAATAGTTGTTAAACCAAGTACACCATTCAAATCATGGAAAATTTTCGTGGGATAATCACCATTTTGATGTTTCAAGGTCACCAATTTTTGTAAATCTTCACTTTTCATTATCAAAGAGAAAACTTAAATTTTTTCCAGAAAAAGTAAAGAAATTAAAAAATGGGGATTGAAACAATTTTCCAGGATTTATCGATAAAGATCATTGGCCACCCAATAGTCCTGATCTGAATCCATTGGATTACTGTATATGGGATGAATTTCAAAAGTTTATTGATTGGAATAGAGCGACATTAAAGCAACACTAATCCAAGAATTAAAACGTGCTGTAAAAAAAATTCGAAAAAATGTTGTCTTTGAAAGTTGTAATTCTTGGACCAATCGATTGTATCGTATGTCTCAAAATAATGGAGACTATTTTAGATAATAAAAATATCTACGTTTTGTAGAGAATTTGACAAGGAATCTTTCTATAAAAAAAAATTTTTTTTTCTATGTCGAATTATAGATGAAAAAAATTCAAAATACTAAGAGGTCCATTTAATCTGCGCCACCCGTTAGAAATGGTACTCATTCCTGTAATTCTTGATTGTAGCGTCATTGAAAGTTTCTTTTGCAAGTTACAAACAACTATCATTCGATTTTTGAATATTCAAGACTGGTCGACTAATGAAACCTTGTGCGTTGTAAATGTAATTTTTCACTGTAAGTAGAGCATATGCTAACTGAGTTATTTTCTTGAAGAAACTGTGTTCGGGAGCGAACAAAAGCATAAATTATATCTACTGTTCTTATCATTCATAGTTATAAACAGTAGAGTTAAGGCATTAGCATGGTGTTAAGTTGTATGTTTAGTTCTAGTTGTTTTAGAACTTGTTTTATTACAGGTTCTAGATACACACATAACAATTTTACACACTAACTGAAAACTACTGAAAGACGTGTCATTCATATAAATTAAAGAAAAAGAGAATAAAGAGAAAAGAAGACGAGAACTAGGAAAAGACAAAGAGATAAATAAAGAGAAGAGAACACGAAGAAGATATATCAAGAGGATAATATGATCTTGTGTGTTAACATGGATCAGAACACGTGGTGTATGAATGTGGTGTAATGATTATTTTTCGTGAGGTTTTCATTACGTGCAAAGAAAACTCGTAAAAATTAGATATTTGTCGCAACACCAACAAATCTTGTTCAGGCCAACCCTGTAGGATAAGTCTTGCATTCACACACGTCTAGATCAATAGTCACTATTAGATTACTATTAACGCTAACTACGTAGTAGTAACTTGTTTCACTCAACTTGGGAACATTGTTACTAAGGTGATCATATTTCATGTTGTTGTTTGCCATGTATATGTTAACAGAAATCGTCTAACATTCCTCTTCTTATCTCATTATGAATTAGCATAAATCCTTTCATTAGAGGGTTAGCGACGATCACGTCGCGCTATTTGTTGTGATATTGATTCGGTGAAAGCCTCTTCTTCAATGGTGTCTTCACTGCGTTCTGTCATAATTAAAGCTTACTGGCGTTTATTACCGCTTCTAATTCTATCATTTATCATTGCTTATGTTGACCGAAATAATGTTTCATTGGCTAAACTTAAAATGATCAATGATTTGCCTTCATTTCAACATCGAACAGAAACTATATTTGCTCTCGGTCAGGCAGCATTTTTTATTGGCTATTTACTTCTCGAAATTCCTGGTACATTATTAGTTGAAAGATGGAGTGCGCGCAAATGGATATGTCGTATCATGATTACTTGGGGTATTTTAGCTTCATTAACAGCAATCGTTACGCAGCCGTGGCATTTTTATTTACTTCGTTTTTTTCTTGGTCTTGCCGAAGCTGGCTTCTTTCCAGGTGTTATCGTCTATTTAACTCATTGGTTTCCAGCACAAGCAAGAGCTCGAGCAATTTCTCTATTTCTTATTGCTACTCCAATTGCTCAGTTCATCAGTCCGAAAATATCTTATTATATTCTTCGTATGGATACCATCGAAAATGGTATCTACTATACAACATTCTTTAAACTTAAAGGTTGGCAATGGATGTATATCGCTTGGGGTGTACCATCCGTGATACTCGGTATTGTTGTTTTNGTTGAGTGATGAAGGGTGTCGAGTACTGGAAACAGAATTAGCTCTTGATTTAGCACATCGACAAATCGCTGGTGGTCATATAACATTACTACAAGCTTTACATCATAATAAAGTACTTCTTCTTGCCATTGCTTATTTTTTTATTGTAACAGGTAATTATGGTGTGGAAATTTTCTTACCAACAATTCTTCGCGATTGGTATCATCCAAGTGATGGTATTCTTACATGGCTATTAATGATTCCACCATTTGGTGCTCTTATTGGAATGTTAGTAATTGGATTTAGTTCAGATAGAACTAAAGAACGACGTTTTCATGCTGCTATGCCTATTCTTATCGGTGCAATTGGACTTGGTTTAACATTAATTCAACAGCAACCGCTATTTACAATGATTATTCTTTTTACAATAACATCCATTGGTACTAAAGCTTATTTACCAGCATTTTGGTCACTACCAAGTTTGTTTTTAAGTGAATCAGCCGCTGCTGGTTCTATTGGTCTCATTAATTCAATTGGTAATATTGGTGGTGGTGTTGGACCTATTCTTTTAGGCGTCTTCAAAGATCGTACTGGATCATTTTTTCTTGGTATTCTCTTTTTATCTATATCGATGTCTTTGGCATCGATAATTATTATGGCTCTTCGTTTCGATCGACGTCATCAACAAGAACTTGATAAAAACACACAACAACTAACTATGTCAAACACAAACGATGAGTTGATTATCAGTACAGGAGAAGCAGAAGAAAGTACGACACTCAAAGAATCTCTAGTTTTGTAGAACTATCAAGAAAAAATAAAATATTGACTTCTACCCTGATAATATGATTTATCTCAAAATCAAAAGGTATAATCCTCATATAAAACAAATTCTTCTGTAAGCATATTTTTTACGTATCGTTAGTTGAGTGTTTAATGAGCACATCTAAATAGGCATGCACCAAAAGGTTGTGGGTGTGGGGTGAGGATGGGGGTGCATGGAGTGAATGTGTGTGTATGTACGTGTGGGGTTGGATAAATTGATGAAAACACTTATACAAACACCCACACCCAAGGGAGAAAAAGTGGATCGTGGATCCTCATGGATCCTTGTGGATGCTGGTGAATGCTGATAGCACCTGATGAATTCTAGAATAAGTCATTTGAAGTATCCCAAAAAGAAGATGGAAACAGCTGAGCATAATAGATGCAAGAATCCATTAAAGTCCAAAGAAACTAAATGAAAAAAAGAAAAAAAAGTCACTTCAGCATTTGTGACGAAGAAGAAAAAGGAGATCCACGGCACTGAAATGCTTATGTGTCTCAGTATCTTTTGGCGTATCATGCTCGATTGTGCGCATTTTTAGGACCCATCACGATCTACGCTTCCTCCATCGATCTCGTAGTATTTTTATGCGTAGTGGTTTCTTCTACATTCTGGTTGTCTCTGATATTTTGTAATGGATTTTATCGAATTATAGTTAATTATGGTAGGTTATGGCAACGTTGGTACACTTCGATAAACCTATGCTACAGTCTATTAGGATCCATGAATCCATCAGGATCCTTTTTTTTCTCGATTGGCATCAGTGTACCAGAACTTGACTCAATTTGATACTCTTGTCTCTATCCTGTTTTTCCTTTAGAAACTCTAAAAGGATCTGTTATGATCCTGAATCTGAAGATTCTTGTCATGTTTTATTCAAGACTCTGCTTCGAGTTTTAGTCACATCAGTTTACAGAACACTTGATTGTGAAAGAGGAGCTTTCCAAGAACCTTTTCAAGCTCCTACTAAGATTTTTTGTTTATTTGAAAATAAAGGATCTTACTTCGATTCACTCTCAGTCCTACTCAGGACCTTGGCAGAAATAACAGAAAGAATGTTGGTTTGATTTTATCAAAGTTTTACCAGGATCTGTTCGGAATCTTTTCACCATCATCCTCTCCAACTTACAGTTAGATCAGACGAGGATCTTACAAAGAATAATACAAGAGCAGTGAGAACACTCAACTGATGAATCCTGCCAACGTTCAATCAGGATCCTATCTCGTTTTTTACGTGATCTTGTTATGAAAATCTCTTCTAACCATTTCCAGGATCCCATTCAGATCTCTTCATGGACACACATTTAGGATCCTTTCTAGAAAAGATTAAGGGCGGTCACAATCTTCCTGAGAAATTATCAAGGCTGAACGAAGATCTTTACAATTTTCGAGTAGTGTCACATATCCAAGATTTTGGAGATGCCACTGCATCTCCCGCTGGAGATGCGGCATCTCCCGCGGGAGATGCAGTGGCATCTCCAAAATCTTGGATATGTGACACTACTCCATGGAACCCCCTTACCTGTCGGATTTTATTGTCATATAATCCTTGAAAACTCATTACAATGAAGATTTTAATATCTGTTTAACTGTTACATAAACTTTTCCTTTAAAAAGACTTACAGCAAGAGACAAGTACTTCAGTGAAAACTTCTAATGAATTTTGTTCATTCGTGTTAAATTATTTTAAAAAACTACTTTTTCATTAAAACTCAAATCAATAAGTGATAGTAAAATTTCATAAATAATCAATCTATTGAGTTTAATATTTGATTTTTCGAATATTTCTTGGAATAATATGTATTTGTACAAATTGTAAATACAAGTTAATAGTTCAGAGAGAACTTAAAATGCCGATCGCTTAAGTGCAATTAAATGATTTAGTACAGTTTACTGCGGTAAAGTAATCGATCTGTAAACTGTAGACCTAGTGATCAATACTCTGTGCATTCATTTCTCCTGTTTTCTGCCTAGAAAACCTTGCAAAGATTCCGTCAAGAAAACGTATAACATCGGTAAAGAATTTAAATGTAGTCCTGCGAGATGCAACCAGAATATATTTTTGCAATTGGATATCATTGAAATGCTAACGAAATCCTGACATAAAATTAACGAAAAGGAGCTCGGAATGCTTTTAAGATCTTGTTCTAATCCTAGCAAAATCGTTGTTGCTTCGTGGCTGCACGTTTCTCTAAGGATTTATCGCTTTGTTAAAATACTCCTTATTAAAATTGTTTTGGTAAACAGCTCAGGACCCAGTGAAAACTGTGTTTTAAGTCTTGTTCAAATTATGGAATTCTGTGACTACATAATTTTTTCAAGATTTCGCAGCTTCTTGGATGATTTCTGGTTGCAAAACAGTAATAAATTCTTCACGATTTCGATCGAGTTCCAATTCAAATCGTCTCAGCACCTTAAAACTTCGTGGAGACACCTTTTTCAGATATTCTTGTTTCCTTAGAAAAAAGCTGTTAGCGCAATCCCTTGCGGGATTAAAAATGTGAAACACGATGGATCTGCTGCTACTAATTAAATGGAAATCGTTTTGTTCCATTTCTTTGCAATCCATTTGTAGCGAACCTNTGTGAACTCAATGAGACATCAGATCAACCAAACCAAGTTAGAGTTTGATGACTTCACTCAGATAAAGATGTTTTTAAGCTGCACATCCTCATCCTCAAGTCGAGCAGAAAATTCTTCATTAATTTATTATCTGAATATATTTCATATGAACTTAAGCAGGGGTAGATCATGATGTCCATCGGCAAATGTTGTCAATAATAGTTTATCGAAATAAGAGTAAGAGCATTGGAAAGACCTCTTCGAATTACACTTATAGCCAAAATATCTAATTGATTGATAGCTCTCTCGAGGAGAAAAACTATATTCACTTAATTCTAATACACAATTAAATACAACAAATGGGGTAGATATCTACTGATTATAAAAACGAGGAAGAGAATATGCAAACTTCTTTTTTTTGTTGTTAGATCGAGTTCAACATTTTACGTATATGATAACTATGTTAGGTCGAAGCAAACCAGTTTTCAATAAAAACTAGCATTGAAGTCTATGTTGGAAGGTTTGATTATTAAGCTCGATAACCTGTATATTTTTTATAATGAGATCAATTGAAACTATTGTTAATATGCTTCACAAAAATTGCGTCTTTGTCGTTCGAACCAAACCGACATGATTTACTAATTTATCCTATGGGGGTAAATAAGAGACCCATAATTAGCCTATCGTTATTTATAACGTGAAGTTGACGTGGTTGATGAAATGCCGATTTTGTTTAATGTACTGACCCAACCACGTAACTCACACTAAGCGAAGATGATTGAATTTCAAGAAAATCACGAAGCTGACAGTTGAAGAACCTATTGTTTGTTTTCTACAGAGTTTTTAAGCCATCTTTGGATTATGCAGCCCAATTGTTCTTGTGCATTTTTAATAAAATGGCTAACTATGTTATCACGGAGCATTTTCAAAATTCTGACAAGATAAGCTAATGTAAATTGATTCACGATTTTTCTCACACAAGTAACTTTTTTCCGGAGCACATAAATAAACTGCTGATCACATTTCAATCAAAATATGTACCTCTAAAAATTTAGAATAGAGAACAATTCAAATTTTTATTGATCTTTCTGAACAACTCCAGATGACTATTTCTAATGGTGAAAAAAAGCAACTAGTAACTAAGATTTTAGGCTTTTCTAATGAAGTAACTTGGATGAAGGCTGCCGAATTATAAAAAACTCAGTCTTTTGAACGATGAATTCTCTTTCATACATCACCAATCTGATCAATATTTTAACATTTTCTGGAAAGCAATTCTTTGTACTCATTGGAATTCAGAATTTATTTTTCTGATAGATTATTTCGTACGTGTACAACGCAAGTAGTCGACAATAAGGTTGTAACACCATATCAGCATATGGTGTGATAGCCTAGTTTCATATCAAATGAAGCTCCTGTTTCTTTAATGGCTATCATAACACCATTGAAATTCAACGTACTTGTGGTCATTTAAACGAACCAAAATCTACGGGCTATGTGTTCCATCGATCAACGCCGTTTCTTTTATTTTAACAGTTGCTTTTCAATCATATTTTCGATTCACATTTTTTTTCACATATCCCATTAAAAGCAATTGAAAGCTCAAGTTGTATTGAATCTTTCAAATCAATTTTCTAACATTATTGCCATCTAAACAGTGTAACCTAGCGCAGTATCGAATATTAACATTGATGACGCCTGAATTGACCTAATTTCCACAAAAATGAACATAATCTCGTATGAAAACTAAAATTTTATAGTCAAATTATTCGAACAAGTACCTTTGTTTTTCAATAGTCTGACAAAACGAAATTCGTAGTATTAAAGAATTGAAGTAGATTTTTTCATTGTAAATGCGATTTGATAGTGAAGAACAAGAAAAGTAAGTTACTCATCCAATATAAATACTGATTTTGTTTTCTTTTAAAGGGTGTAGGTTTTCGATTATTTCATACCGACAGCCATACCCAAACGGAATTCATCATGTACCAACAAATGATCTTGTTCACAGCATCGAAAGTTGGTCCCACAGAAACTATAGAATAAGCCGCTCTTTGAAGATTGTAGAGCTTTTCACGCTGCATCTTATGGTATTTTTTTTCTTAAAACAACGTATTCAGTGATTGAAAATTGAAATGAGAAACACGACTATTTAATGTGCCCCACCGTTACTTCGTTATTGCATATGATTAACAACCATAGCTCTATCATATCTTACGTTTTAATCCCACAAGGATTGTACTAACAGATGTTTTTGCCGTATTGATTTTTTGATCTTCTCTTTTTTCGAAACGTTTTATTTCTTCGTATTCTTTCTACGTCGTTTTTCTCGATTAAGTCGTGTATACATCTGGTGCAATGGCAAAAAGACAGCATCATATATTTATTTCCGTCTTTACTGTATAATGAGAAAA